ACTGTTTTACTATTCTCATTTAAGCCCAGATGAAAGGAAGCTTCTATATACTGAACGAATGTTACTCGCCACAACTGATCCCCAATAGACGTGTTACTGCTCGCGTATAATATGCGAAATTTGAATATTATGGATGTAGACAATGCCGACACATTGTACGATGTTGATCACGTGATAAATTTCGCGTTTCGCGTTTTTCGGGGGTTATTGGGGACTACGGCAGTCCGAAGCAATTGCACCTAAAACTTTCCATTCTCGCACCGATTTAGCGTTTGTTGGAGATGTCTGCTAACGCGATGCGTCATGAATTTGCCTCGCCGAGGTCGTTGCGTGCAAAACATCTCCATATCCGTCCAAGCGGGCTCTCCCTTCTTCCAAGGAGATGCCATCGATGGAACAGCTCAAGCATTACGCCGCCAGCGCAAGAGCCCGTTATATTTTCTGGGATCCAACCAACTGGTGTGCCTCATTTGGGCAATTATCTAGGAGCTTTGCATCAATGGGTGAAGCTCCAACAAGATGCAACCGAAGGAACCAAGCTATTTTTCTCCATTGTTGATCTACATGCATTGACAGTACCGCAAGACCCAGCCCAATTGAAGAAATGGAGGAAGGAGGCCTTTGCAACATTGCTTGCTGTGGGCCTTGATCCTAAGCGCTCTACAATATTCTACCAGTCCGGGGTAGGTTCTCGTCTTATAGCTGTCGGCTGCTAGGGACAATCGGGATTTTATACTGACATTCATCAGGTGCCAGCACATACCGAGTTGATGTGGATTCTCAGCACGGTGGCTTCCATGGGGTATCTGTCGCGTATGACACAGTGGAAGGTGAGCGGCCCTGTAATTTATACAGAAAGAGCATCTTATTGACACTCTCCAGAGTAAGCTACAGCTGCCAGACGACGCCACGCTTGATGATTCAACGGCACGGGCACAGCTGCGACTTGGTCTTTTCTCCTATCCAGTACTACAAGCAGCCGATATTCTTTTGCACAAGTATGTTCCTCGTCTACATTGGCCGTTCTTTGCTAATGATCATTAAGAGCGACTCATGTTCCGGTTGGAGAAGACCAAAGACAGCACCTGGAGTTTTCCAGATACACTGCGAATAGCTTCAACCACCTCTATGGGCCCATCTTCCCTATACCAGAGGCATTGATATGTAAGATAACAGTTACCCGAAGGAACAGAACGAACAGAACGAAACATTAACTTGACCAGCCCCCGCAAAGCGAGTGATGTCCCTTAAGGAACCCACGTCAAAGATGTCCAAATCGCACGCCGATGGGAAATCCCGGATCATTCTTACCGACTCACCGGCCGAGATCCGCAAGAAAGTCAAGGTAGCCCTGACGGACTCGGAGGCAAGCATCACCTACGACCCGATCTGTCGGCCTGGGGTGTCTAATCTCATCGAAATCCTAAGCCACCTGGAGGGTGTATCATGCGAGGATATTGCGGCTGAGTTCCACAACGCAAGTCTTCGATCATTCAAGGAACACGTTGCAGATCGAATCATCTATCATCTGCAGGAAATCCGGGATCGGTATATTACGATCATGGATGATCGGACTGGGTACTTGGAGTCGGTGGCTAAGGAGGGCGCCGAAGCAGCGCGAGCCAACAGTCGGGTGACCATGCAGCAAATCCGGGATGCGATGGGTCTGTAAGTGGCGAGAAGGCTGTTTCGGCTTTTCAATATTAATGAAGGTAGTGAGAGGTACAATATGTAAGTATAAGAGTCATGTCCGTTAGAGCCCAAAGGGGGCTGAAAGTGGAGTCCACCGCGTCATCGCCTCCACCACGTATATCGCGTACGTACGCGAAAAAGTACCGAGTCATGATTTGTTGAATTTAGGAATCAAAGGTTAAAGACTTGAATTATGTTAGATGTTAGATCAACTACATCTATATGTATACAAAGTCGTTTACACTTACGTTGTACTTATGCTTGGTGACGACAGCACTATGGAGTTCCCGCCTGACCCGTTCATCTTCGAGAAGAACAGGAAAGATCTAAATATATAAGATACATCTATTGTACGTATGATCCACCTTAGAATCCGGCTGGAGCCGACTAGGTAACTCCATAGTCATTTGTGGAAAGATATCAACTTCCCCCCCGTTTCTTCTTTTTTCCCTCTTTACCTCTCTTTTGCTTCAACTTTCCTCTTGGCTTGCTACTCTATTCAAAACCACCCCCACCTAGGACGTCATCTCTGAAGTTCAAAAAAATCGAATAGCTCGTCCCTTACTTGCGGAATTCGGGGAGGACGATCGACGCTATCATGAAAAATGCTTGGGTCTTATTGGTCACTGGCCTGGCGCTGCCAGTCTGGGGTTTAACCCTCCATCGAAGAGATAACCCCGCCGTGGTGCAAATGGATATTCAACGAAAGGATATTCTCGACCCCGTCGCTAGAGATCAAGCAAGGAGGAAACGTTCGACCGTCAGTCAGGCATTGGACAATGAGGTACACATGATATCTATTTATAGGTATATATAATTCTTACGCAACTGCTAATGTGTCTGCCTAGGAAACTTTATACTTCTGTAATATTACACTGGGTACTCCGGAGCAGAGTGTACGCCTGGTTCTCGACACTGGAAGTAGTGATTTGTGGTGCAATACGCCGAATTCGACTCTCTGTGCAGCCAGCAAAGACGCCTGCGCTGAATCTGGTACTTACAACTCGAGCTCTTCCTCTTCATATTCATTCGTGAATTCGGACTTCAATATCACCTATGCCGATGGATCCGGCGCTGCCGGAGACTATGTCACCGACACCCTTACCATTGGAGGCACAACTATTAAAGACTTCCAGTTTGGCCTTGGGTTTACCTCTGGCTCTTCGGGTAAGTGATTTCAGTCGGATATAACGCTGATTACCACAGAGCTAACATGGATGTCTGTATACAGAGGGTGTGCTGGGTATAGGATATACTACGAATGAAGTTCAGGTTGGCAGAAATGGAGACTCGGCTTATGCCAACCTGCCCAAGGCAATGGTCAGCAAAGGAGTAATCCAATCAAATGCCTACAGTCTCTGGCTGAACGATCTGGATGCGAGTACAGGCTCGATTTTGTTTGGTGGAGTCAACACTAAGAAATACCACGGCACCCTGCAAACAGTTCCCGTCCAGAAGGTCCACGGACAGTATTCGGAGTTCATCATTGCGCTAACTGGAGTTTCCCTCACCAATTCCTCCGGCAAAAATACCTATTCTTCCAGTGCCCTTCCTGCGGGCGTGTTGCTGGATTCGGGAAGCTCTCTTACATACCTTCCGGACGCCCTGGTTCAGGATATCTACAATGATCTCAGTGTCTCCTACGAGTCGGACAGTGGCATTGGCTATGTTGAATGCAGTATGGCAGATAAGAACATCACCCTCGGTTACACATTCTCATCCCCGACGATCAGCGTGGAAATCAAAGAGATGATCATCGATGTTGGCGATCTCTATTTCCGGAACGGCAAACGGGCCTGCGTTTTCGGTATTGTTCCCGCGGGGACCAGCACGGCAGTTCTGGGAGATACCTTCCTTCGCAGCGCCTATGTGGTATACGATCTCGCCAATAATGAGATCTCCCTCGCCAACACCAACTTCAACACCACCGAGAATGATGTTTTGGAAATCGGGACTGGCACTGATTCCGTCCCTGGTGCAACTGCAGTATCGAACCCAGTGACTACCGCGTCGGTTGGTGGCACCGCTGCTCGAATCGGAGCACCGCATGGAGAGACCGGCCTTTCCGGCACCTCCTCTGTCACTGGGAATATGGCCATTCCTAGGGCGACTGCTATGCCGAAACACATGGCTGTCGGCCTTGTCGGCGTGGGAGCTCTTCTGGCCTTCTAAGACCGTTAGGGCTCATTCGGCTGATCAGTTAATTTTCTTCTTATGTATATGTCTCGCATAATATGGTGTATTTGGGGTTTGGAAAGGCTATACCTAAAACTATTGTCCGTACTCTCAATTATCGAGTTCTTACGTGTTATGAAATAGAAAGCACCTATTTTTGATCTAAATATAGCGATGTGCATGTGGAAAACTGTCTGTATACATATCCTTATAGCTATATTCACTTCTCCCAGCTCTCTTAAGACTAGCCTACAGGCTGCTGAGTCCTGACGCACATGGACATGAAGGCCTTCTATATGTATGAAATATCTTCTTCATCATTTACGCATAAACATATTTAGTATTGGTTATTAGGTTATTTTTATACGGCATCTCATTTTATAGATTTTAATCATCCGCTTCACCTATCTATCACCATACAGAAAGTGAATTCTCTACACATTCACAATAAAACACTTCGACACCACGCAGATCAACAATAGCCTAACACCATCCTTAAGGACCACATCCCTAGGGATGAAGAAGACATCAAAGCAAAAGCAACCGAGTCCTTCTCTAATGTAAATGACCGAAACTGGTATGGTCAACTGACGTATATTTACAGTCCTTAGTTTTAAATCTTATAGATCTCTATGAATTCGTATATAAATTTGTAAATATCTTGGCATGGGAATCCCTTGGCACCAACGTTCCTCGACTGACCACCTCCCCGAATTCCCAGAATGCCCCGAATTCCCAGAATGCCCCGAATCCCCTTTTCTGTCATTATAAAAGCCCAACGGGAAAATAATCTTCTGCCTATACTCCTCAAGGAATGTCGCACAATCGATTCGGCTCGCAATGAACTTCGTTGGCTACGCGAGCGGGCAGTTCGCGATAGCCAGTCTCTTTCATCAAAGGCAGGATGGAGAAGCCGATTGAGATCTATGTGTCGCATGCGATCTAGAGGATATCCTCTCCAATATATTCTTGGAGATCAACCATTCGGTGACTTGGAGATTCTTTGCCGAAGAGGTGTTCTGATCCCAAGGTCTGCCTATCAGATTCTTTAAAAATTGATACTCTTACTAACAAGCTTTCGTAGGCCAGAAACTGAATCGTATACGTACCAAGCAGCTAACTTGGTCCGTCAAATGGCCCTGGGCCATAATGACAAGTCCAAGTCTCCTAACCAGGCGAGACCTTTGCGCGTCATTGACCTTTGCACTGGAACAGGGTGTATACCACTTCTTCTGCACGCCTTACTTTCTCCTCATTTCCAGGAGCTAGAGATAACAGGAGTGGACATCAGTCCTACGGCCTTAGACCTAGCCCGAGAGAATCTCGAGCATAACCTGCAATTGGGCCAGTTGGCACCCCGTGCAGGGACAGACATTCACTTCTATCGCGCCGATGTCCTCGGACATAACAGTGACAATTCAGTCCCGTCCATCGAGTCAATACTCCAAACACAACTCCCCAATTTCGGAGCATTGGACATCTCATCACCCGACCAAGAAAGTGAATGTGATCTATTAATCTCCAACCCGCCCTACATATCCCAAACGGAGTTCCGCAACGGTACCACTGCACGCAGTGTACGGCGCTTTGAGCCCAAGCTGGCACTTGTGCCTCCATACTTGGGCTCCAGGATGGAAGACTGCATGCCCGAGGATATCTTCTACCACCGCATTCTTACCCTAGCATTGAAGTTGAAGGCCAAGCTCACGGTGCTGGAGTGTGGGGATTCTCACCAGGCTAATCGAGTGGTTGCTCTTCACAAGCGACTTGCTTCTGCTGAATCTGGGCAGTCCAGGGCGGAGGTCTGGCCGAGCCGAGAGCAGGATCTGGCTGATAATGGGTTTCATGAGACTGACGGATCACGAGGTGTCATCATACGGACTCTCCGGTAGCGCACGTGTCCATAATTCTCGATCCATTAGAGGAGAGGAGCCTTTTCCCCTATGTCAGATCATCATCAAAAGGCCTGCACAGGTGGCAGCGATCATACTGTTTGTCTCGGGAAGACCAGGGGCTGGAGTACTTGATGGAGACGGAACTTGTATATTATGATTCTCAATATTAATTCCAATTATGTAACTTTGAACTGGTCGGGTATTTCTTGTTTATAAAAGTATCATACATACGAATCTGTTTCGGTCTTAATATAATCACATAAATTTGCGAACACGTAGAAGAATGTACAGAGAGAACTAACCAAGTGCATTTGTATCACCCATGGAAAAAATAAAGAAGAAAAGAAGAAGAAAAAAGAACATTATATACAGAATAGGGTAGACTACCCGTGGACCAGCAAGCCAAGAGTGCTGGTCAGTTTTGGGAGTATTAAAACAGATAAGAGATGCAAAAGGCGAATTAATGTACTTGAATTAGCGTAAAAATGGCACGAAAACCAACGGGGAGATCCAAAATTCCAAACCCAAAACACAGGTGAAGAATACAGCCCGTCTATCGAAAAGTCTGTAGTGGCCCTCGATTGATCCCTGTAGTCTAGAACCAAGTAGGCATTGTGAAGTCGTGAAGAATGTGATTTAGCGCCGTCATTTTAAAGATTCTTCTTTTTGTCGGAGGAGTAGCTGCGATCGTCTTCGCCCTCGACATCCTTGAGGATCGACTCCATCTCCTTGGCTTGGCGCTTCCACTCCTTATCGCCCATCTTCGTCTCTCTACGGAAAAGCTCCTCGTTGGGCTTGCGGTAGCTGCCACCTAGGCGGTCCCATAGAGTGGTAAACTGTCCGTAGTTGTAGTTGAAGTATAAGTGGTGCATGGTGTGGCAGGCAGCACCGTTCACGATGGGGCTGTTGGCGACGTACTCGCCGTCATGAATGAAGACGGTCCAGAGATTGATGAAGCCGAACAGGAAGACGTAGGCGATCTTCTGCAGGGGGAAGATGAAGGGGAAGACGTGGTACGGAACACTTTGGGACCAACCATCGAGCGGGTGGAAGGCGTGTGAAGCATAAGGGCTCGGCATGATCCACTTGTGGTGAGGCTTGTGCAGGGTCTTGTAGACACGGGGGTGGTGCAGGCCGCGGTGGATCCAGTAGATGAAAAAATCGGTAAAGCAGATGAAGAATGGGATTTGGATGAGACTGTAGTACGGGAAGGGTTCGTCGGCGGTGGTGTCGTAGAGTTTAGCGTATCCGCGAACCTCAAGAACGAAGAAAGGAGCTGTCAACAGGGACATTGGGGGCATTGCGGCCATGGCCTGTCTGATTTCCAGACCAATCTGGTTCTTGAGGAATTTGGGGTGATTGTAGGTTGTCTTGTCCCAGATAAAGATGAATGAAAGTGTTGCAACCAAGAAGTAGACGAGCAGTCCAAACAGCCTAATTGGATGTTAGTACATTGTACCGACACGGAAAAGGCAGCGATTTGAAAGGATTGGCGCATTACCAACTTACCAAGTGATCAGGAAAAAGCTTGTAAATTGACGGTAAATGTTGTTCCTGGGCCAAGCACTCAGGTATGCATATTTCGAAGGTTCCAGGTAAATCATCTGTGTAGCCTGTTCATAGACAAAAGGTTCTGGACCAAAAAGGGCCATTGAAGTGTTCGCGGCCGCATTGACGAATGCCGGCAACGAGACGGACGAAGATAACGAGGCGGGGAGGAGTGTCGAATAGAGGCGATCACCAATAAAGGTGTCCCATAATTCCAGAATGATATCCATGATTGAGGGCACAGATAGGGTTGAGGGGAGGGGGAGGGAGAAACGGAAGAAGGAGGAGTACTTGAAGGAACAAGAAAAAGGAGATTCGCAGCGAATAACAAAGTAGTCATACCAGCGCGGAACCGCCACAGCCGTTGCGATGCCACCTTTTCTTAATAAGCCAATTGATCCAGGGGGGATGGTCTGATGCGGGTTAATGATATGGTTATCTTATGAGTGGATGGGGTTATAGTATATAGTAGTTTATTTTATATTAGTTTCTATACGAATCCTCTAAATTCACTCCTATCACTTCATAACTATACCTTCATGGTCTGCGTTGTACTAAGAAAAAGAGAGGAAACTTTAAAAGAACCCCTGGTTTGCCACAGTTGATGCCTTGATGCCTGAAGACACTTTGTGGCTTATCAGGCAATCAACACATGATAAGTCAAAATTACAATACATACAGTAGCTGCAGTACTGAATTGGTACTGCACGGACCAGTTCCACTTCGGCTTCCCGTACTCAGAGGTACCTCCACTGCCCGCACCGGCGGGTGTAGATCCAAGTATTCCCTGGTATTCCAGGTATCTGGAATAATATCAGTTTTATGCGAACCTCACGATCTGGACCTCATGGATATGGATAAATGAACGTATTTAGCCCTATACAAAAGTACTTTAGATCCAAAACTAAAACTAGATCTTTTGGTTTCATCTCTGTATAGTATAAAAGTACTCATCTAATTGTTATCTGCTTTAGCATTTTCTTTCTTGTTATAGGAGTAGTATTATATACAAGGTTAAAAAGTAGCCTACGGTAAGACCCGCTGCGCTTCTCGGCTATGGCCTCGCTTCACGCGTCAACCACTGCCGCCTTTCCCCCCAAACTCAAACCTTCCCGTTTTAAAGTGTCAGCTGCCAGCCTCTTCCACCCCTCTTACCGCTACACCCCCATTCTCATCTTCCAGCTTATATCGTATCGCCCACTATCGCTGTGGCTAGCTGCGTGGTGCTATCCACCAAGCATTGAAGCCTCGGTGATCAAGATCATTGAGTCCAGGTCGAAAACTTGGTTGCGATCCTATTCGCTGACCTAGACCTGCCGTCCGAACGTCGCTTTCGTCCCTCTCCGACTTGTGAAAGACAGAAAGAAAAAAATATCCTCCACCATGTACAACGCTCATCGCGGGATGGTGCCCGCTCCCAACTCCCGTCTGACGGAGTTGTTGGATCAACTGCGCCAGGAGTTTGAGAGCCAGTCGCGAAACACCGGTGAATTCGAGCATCAGTGTATGTTATCTTCTCCTTTCCAATATATTGTTTCCCCTCCCCTATGCTCGGGCTACTTGCGCCTTGAGCTTCTCCCCCCTTGTCCAATCATTTCATACAAGCAGCTGCAGCTCATTTCCCCCAATGACTGCAGCTCCATGGTTTCCGACATTCGCTGAAGTGTTATCTAACTGACAGATCATGCAGTGACCGGTCAGCTCCAGGAGATGGAGATGATCCGTCAGAAGGTCTATCAACTGGAACAGGCGCAGATCAAGATCAAGCAAGAGTTCGTCCCTTCTACCTTCTTGAAAGCTTGAATAACCCTTTCTGACATTACATTTTTCCTTTTTAGCTACGAAGCTGAGATCCGAATGCTGCGACACGAACTTGAGTCCCGTGGCGTGCAATCTATCCCTTCCCACATCGGCGGACCCGCGGCGGCTCATACAGCTCCTTCCCAGGCTCCCCCACCTGCCTTGGGCCACGGCCCCAGCAATCTGTTTGGCGGTATCATGACCAACCCACCAGGTAGTGGCCCCGGTCTTGCACCTTCCCTTCCCCAGGATCAGCAGCCTCCCCAGCATCCCCTTCAACAGCCTGCTTCGGTCGCTCAGCCTGGCGCGCCGCAACCCCAGCAGAGCTCCTTTGGAGGATATCCGGCTGGCGCTGCTGTGAACGGTATGTCGTTGTGTTTATGAAAATTGTCGCCCAGTTTGCTGACCTGTTGGATTCATCTCCTAGGCTATGGGCCGCCTCCACCTCCTACTGCATCCCCAGGCCCCGGTAAGGGCCGTGGTCGCGTTCCCCCAGGCCCCGGTACCCCCCAGCAAACGCACATCGCCTACCCGGATCCTCGTGCTTCCCCTCAGATCCCTCGCCCGACTCCTCCGAACCCCCCTCTCGGCCGCACAGCCGAACGTCCAGGAAATATGCTGGCGAACTGGAACCCCGATGATTTGCCTCCGTCGCAGAAGCGTGAGGGTTCTGATTGGTACGCCGTGTTCAACCCCGAGGTCCAGCGTGTTCTCGATGTGGAACTGGTACATCACTTGAACCACGACAGCGTCGTTTGCTGTGTGCGCTTCAGCCGTGATGGCAAATACTTGGCTACGGGCTGTAACCGCTCGGCTCAAATCTTCGACGTGACCACCGGTCAAAATGTGGCCACCTTGCAGGATGAAAACGTCGACAAGGACGGCGACTTATACATTCGCAGCGTTTGCTTCAGTCCGGATGGCAAATATCTTGCGACTGGTGCTGAAGATAAGCAGATTCGGGTAAGTCTTGAGATTATATGGAACCAGCTATGTGGGAAGATTACTAACTGAATGCGATTGGCTCTAGGTTTGGGATATCAACCAGCGCACCATCAAACATATCTTCAGTGGACACGAGCAGGACATCTACTCTTTGGACTTTGCTGGCAACGGTCGATTTATCGCCTCTGGCAGTGGAGATAAGACCGTGCGCCTTTGGGATATTCTCGACGGCAAGCTTGTCTACACCCTTAGCATTGAAGATGGTGTCACTACTGTGGCCATGTCTCCGGATGGCCGTTACGTGGCCGCGGGCTCGTTGGACAAGAGCGTGCGTGTTTGGGACACTACAACTGGATACCTGGTAGAACGCCTAGAGAGCCCAGATGGCCACAAGGACAGTGTTTACTCAGTCGCGTTTGCACCCAATGGCCGTGACCTTGTCAGTGGCAGTCTGGACAAGACTATCAAGCTCTGGGAGCTTACCGTTCCCCGGGGCATGCACCCTCACAGTGCCGTCAAGGGCGGCAAGTGTATTCGTACATTCGAGGGCCACAAGGTTAGATCTGAGATTACTTGAGCGAGATAGGCAGAAGCTAACCTTTTGACTACAATATAGGACTTTGTTCTCAGTGTGTGCCTGACACCCGACGGTGCTTGGGTGATGAGTGGTTCCAAGGACCGTGGTGTTCAATTCTGGGACCCAG